CACTTGTGATCAATTCTCTGATTAATTTTTATGAGTTCTAAATGCTGGACTGCAACTATGTGACCAATAACATCTTCAAATTTGAAAGAAAAAAAAAAGATAATTAAGTCATGAGAAAATCTTTTATAAAACAGATAGCAATACATTTTACTATACATGTACATATACATACGCATACATACATTATTACCTGTAAGGATATCAAGCTTGTTAAGTGGGGGACACATCCTATTATGGTCCTGCAAGAAGAATCTATGGTGCGGAATAGGCGGAAAGACACTTGCCAACTTGTTAAAAATTGTTTTAGAAATAAACACGATGTGTGTGTCATGTGGCACCACTCTCTACTGGCCCCTCATTTTGTTAGTGCGGAAATTCATAATTTCATAGCAACATCCTGCCTCAATTTTCGACAGTATTATCTCATAATCCATCTGTCACATCCCGGCTCGGGCGAGACCACTTCCGGGGCCCGACTCCACCGTAGCACGATATTGTCCGCTTTGGACCCCCATTACACCCTCATGATTTTGTTTCTGGGAACTCACACGAGAACTTCCCAATAAGTCCAGCACGCCTTGATCTTGGTCGGGGTGTGTCACCATTTCATCAGATGATGCTTCAATTGCTTGTTGCTTGATAATTCAACATGGGAAAGGGCAAGAAAACGAATTGTTAAATATAGAATGAATAAGTACATCATGCTCAATTTTGCACTTGAAATAACATGGAAACAATCGTAGATCACATACACTAAACAAAAATATGTAAAGTAAACAACAATAGTGAAATTATCGTTGTAATTAACAGTTTAATGGAATTGGATACCGCAGAAGAAAAAAAATATATATGTTGTTTAGAGCTAATATGAGAATTTATACATTACTTGACAATAGAAATCAGAGAACGAAAATAATGAAAATACATTGCATAGACTTTTTAACTCAGAAAGCAGAAAATATTATATCATTCGTATTAAAAACCAAATAAAAAATTGTTCATAGACAATATCAAATGTGAAGGAATTAATATCATCAAAGAACGTTCACCTTTTCATTGACCAGTATACAATGCAGATTGCATATTTATTGCCCAAGCCCGGATATCTTGGTCTTCATATTCTACACACACGCACTTTAATTTTCACAGCCTTGTTATACGGTATAAATCGATCAAGAAGAGTTAGACATTCGTCTTCCATTTGAGCTAATCAAACCTAAACAAAATTTCTGTAAATTTAGAAATAATCTATTAGAAACCTTAAAACAATAACCACATCATAATATTAATTTTTACAACTGTCATAAATGTATAGAAAAAACGAAAATTACAAATCAGTTTACATTGATACCGGTTAAAAAGTAATCATCATGAAATGAAAAACATAAATATAAAGGGTGTTTAACAATAAAATATTGCCATGTAAAAGACTGTTAACATTATTTCATCAAATAACAACATAAGTTAAAAAAGAAACAGAATGACTGAATAAATTGTTAAAAAACATAAAAATAAAAAAAACTCAAAATACAGCCAACTCATTTGGAATTTTTCTACCCAGCGGTTATTTTCTGGCAATTAAATAAAGAAACAGTGCGCGTTGCTCGAAAGTGACGTTTCTGGGTTTGAATTGCGTTTTTGGAGCCCAAGAATATGAGTTCGTGGCCTTCTGGAGAAGTGTTCAAAATAGTTCAAACTTTAAATCCAGCTATTTTGGGCCAGTTTTGGAGCTGATTTGGGTCCAAAATGTGGTTGTGCAGATTTCTAGGCGAATTTACCAAGTCAATTTAGGACCTAGTTTATTTATTGTTTTTAGGTTTACTAGTTTTATTCTAAGACCTTTGACTAGAAGGATTTTAATGAGAGTTGTATAAATAAGCCTTTTGGAAACCTAAACCTAGTGGGGTAGAACGTATGCAACTTTTGAGAGGAATATTTTGGCTAAAGCTTTAGAGATTTCAAGACTTATACCACCGTGTTATCCAAGGTTTACATTCATTATACATAGCACTTGAAAATATGGAAAACACTTCTAACTACTTGTTGAAAAGAAGATAAATCTTTCCTTTTCAACAAACACCTCAAGCCATGAAAACAACCGTGTTATCCAAGGTTTACATTCATTATACATAGCACTCGAAAATATCAAGAATGTCAGTCAACACTGGTGAGAATGCAATAGATCTTTTTTTTTTTTTTTTTTTTTTTTTTTTAAGTAACATAGAAGTCCTTTATTGATTTAATAATATTCAAAACACTGCATAGAATTTATTGAAAAGAAGCTCAAGGTTTCCTTTTGACAAACACCTGAAGCCATGAGCAATTGTGGTATCAAAGTTGTGCATTAATTACATAGAGACTTGTAAAAGGCAAGAATGGCAGTTAATACCAGTCAAAATGTAATAGACTTCAATTACGAGCACACCACATCAAATCACATTGATAACCAACGTATACTAAAAGAAAAATCAATTGAACACTGCGAGGAAGGCATCAACTACATTGCCATTCACATGGAGTGCCAATAATTACATACAAATGACTACATTCATTATATAGAGCAGTTGAGAAAACTAAGAATGGCAGCCAAGACCAGTCAGAATGTAATAAACTTAAATTAAGTCAAGACCGCACTAAATCACATTGATTATCATCATATGCTAGAAGATAGATTAATTGAACACAGTGAGCAATGACACATCCCGACCAAAATCAAGGCATGCTAGACGTTATGTGAGGGTGACGTAGCCATGTGTGCAGTGCGGAAATATCCACCCCCCTTAGGGGCCTGACGCCCACGTCGGCACACTTTCGGCTAGTGATTGGCTCTGATACCAAATTGTCACATCCCCGCCTGGGCCCCTACCACATCCCGACCTTGACTCCACCGTAGCATGATATTGTCCGCTTTGGCCCCCGACCACGCCCTCACGGTTTTGTTTCTGGGAACTCACACGAGAACTTCCCAATGGATCACCCATCCTGGGAATGCTCTCGTCCAAACTCGTTTAACTTTGGAGTTCCGATGGAACCCGAAGCTAGTGAGCTCCCAAAAGGCCTCGTGCTAGATAGAGATGAGAATATACATATAAAGCTTAGAGGATTATTGTAACATCCCACATCGCCCAGGGAATTCTCATCTCTACCTAGCACGAGACCTTTTGGGAGCTCACTGGCTTCGGGTTCCATCGGAATTCCAAAGTTAAGCGAGTTTGGGCGAGAGCATTCCCAGGATGGGTGACCCATTGGGAAGTTCTTGTGTGAGTTCCTAGAACAAAATCGTGAGGACGTGGTCGGGGCTCAAAGTAGACAATATTGTGCTACGGTGGAGTTGAGCTCGGGATGTGATGGGGTCCGAACCGAAACGTGACAAGCAAGGCATGAACTACATTGCCATTCGTACACTGCCAATAATTACATAGAAATGATTAAGGCGTGAACTACATTGCCATTCATACACTGCCAATAATTACATACAAATGATTAATCACAAACAAGATGTTACACAAATTTTACACAAATGATTAATCACAAACTAAATGTAAAAATCCATGAATAGATTCGATGCCTAGATCTTACACAATTTTTTTTATTCAACCTAAAATAGAAAAGAGCAAAAACTTAAAATGGAAAAAAAAGGACAAAAGAAAAACAATCACATCCACACCCATCAACCTGTGCATAAATAACATAATAACAAATCGAAAGAGCAAAACATATCGCCACCATACTGCCAAAACGAAAGTGAAACGAATAGTCTAAAATAATCAAAATGCAACCAAACTACGAAACAAACAAGCAAAAATAATCAAAACCTAACTGAACAAACCCAAACACAACACCAAATCAATTGATAAACCGTGGCTACTCGATCTAATACCTGAGAGAGAAGCTGACCACTGAGAGTGCAAACCTTGACCAGAAGAACTTTCAAACGCTGTAAAACAACCATAAAAAAAAAAATAAATAAAAAAAAAAAAAAAGGAACATTACGGCCTGCTAAAAGACTAACAAAAAATAACAAAATCAAACATCCGTGCCTACATGAAAGACTGCATACAAAACAGCAAAAAAACCCAAAGCTGAAAACCCATTGCACAAACAACAGTTTAACAACGACATAAAGGAAGAAGAAAAACCGAAGGTCTAGAGAGAAACTAACAACAACAGAAAAACGCAAGGAAAGAGAACAAAACTTAAAAAACCAAATTTGACTGTAAGAAAACGCAGAGGTCGGAGAAAACACGGGAGTCCAAACTGAAATGAAAGTTGAGGGAAAGAAAAAAATAAGGGAGGAAAGCCGAAAAGGCAAACTCCCTTAGATCATCGAAATGTGACAAACGCTCAGCCCACAAAACGAAACAGTAGGTTTGAAGGTTGGGCAACACACGGCAGCAGAGATAACAGAACATAACACGCAAGCACAAGAGCAAAAATGAGAGAGGGGCCAAATGGCCAATTCACCGTACAACCCAGCCGAAAAAACGTGAAGAGAATGAGGGGTAAAGCCGGATGGGGACTGTTAATAAACAGAACCTATCCACCGGGTTTTAGAAGAGAGTAATTTTGATGAGAAATACTTGTTAATAAGCGATAAGAAGAATGATAGGTACTTTCCCCTCTTGTATTCTCTAACTCGTCTTTCCCACACAATGGATGACATATGGACATTGTGTTTAAAATTTCTTTCTTCTCATTCTACTAGTATCATGAACTAAATCTCATATATCAATCAAATTATTAATGATATCCATCGAAATACATATGTCAAATATTCGCAATTATACCTAAACGGTTTGGGAGAGGCAAAGTAAACAAAAACTTCAAACTACAAGAACTTAAAACTAGAAAGATACAAAATTAAACAAAAATAAAAAGGAGAATCCTTAGAAAATTAAACTTGCATAAAAAATAATATTAATAATTAGATTTGTGGTGAATAATATCAATGATTTGGTTGATATAGATGATTTAATTAGGAGTAATGGTGGAAAGAAAAGAAAGAAATTTTAGTATAATTAATACATGGATTTAGGTGTAATGATTGTCCACATGTATTCATTGAGCGAAATAAAAAAAGTTGGAAAAGGCAAGTGTAAAGGGTATCTAACATTTTTCTTGTTATAATAATATAAATATAATATGAGAGTGGTATTGCTAATTATCTTAGAGTGTGTTTGTTTGTCATATCTAACTTTCAATGGATTAGACTAGATTACATATTAGTTTAGGCACGTGTTTATGACAGGCAAGACTAAGTTTGAAGGGACAAAGGAGGGCTCGCCTCAAGACCTCCCAAAAAGTATCAGACTGCTAAACTCGTCTACTTTGCTTCGCCTCGAACTCGTCTTGTCTGCTTGGCACCGTCTTCGTGGCTGTCCAACAAATAAACGATGGACCAGCATCTTCGTTGAGACCCAAATTCCCAAAAGACGAGATCTTCGTGAACCCAATGGTGGGTGCAGAACGCGATGAGGAGGAGCGTAAAGAGGCTTACGAGCCACCTAGTGTGCTTGAAGGAATACATGAGGCCAAGAATGCCAGCAATTTCCCATCGAAATCATTCCTTCGTCCATGGAACTGTCGGAAGAGCGCTGATGCAGTGATACGATGTCGGGAGGAAAATCGTACTGTCAAAAGAACTACGATCAGATCAGAAATAATGCTATGAATAAGAAAATCAAGACGAGAAAATCAGATGGAAACAACATATAATCTCAAGGAGAATCGTTGATCCAAAGAGGTGAAATATCCAAAATTATTATTTTTTTCTTCTTAAATATTCTAAATTTTATTGGAATCAACGGGATTAAGGATTTTGGATAATGTGTTTTGCAGAAAAAATCTGGCAAAAAATGAGAAAAAAAGAGAAATGAGAGGTAGAGAATAGGACAGAGAAAAGGAGAAAGATAAAAATAAGTGTTTCCAGAGGGTGAAGAGTTTTTTAGAAAAAAGAAAGGAAGGATTTAATAATAAAATATTACTATATAGATTAAATAATATAATATTAAGGTTAGTTAATTATTCTACTTCTAGTACAATACAGCACAGTTCAACTTAGTTTATTCTAAATCAGTTCATTTTAATCCCTAAAACTAATCTAATTTGAGATTGTCCATGCATTAACGCACCCTTAGCGAGAGTATTGCTATGCCCTTAATCCTACTTTAAAGTGAGTGAGAATGAGCTAATAAACATAATTAAAATATAAAAGTCAAAATATTACTGTCGACTGCTGATAATAGTATGACGGGAGATATTTCTTAATGTGGTAGAAATACAGATAAATATATAATACAATTGTATAAAAAAATTATTCAAATGTTTAACTAATTATATTATTAGATTAGACGACCTGTCACCGAGTAAAGTTTCCAATAATGGAGGTAAGGGCAAAAGGCGGCAAAAATTTCGAAGGCAACTTCCGCTAAATCTACGGATACCGCAATTTCCAAGTTTCAACACAACTCTATCTCTCTGAGCTTCGTCTCCAATAAACACAGCAGGTATATCTCTCTCTCTCTCTCTCTCTCTCTCTTTATCAGTACCCTGATCTCTGCATTTCTTCTTATTTTCTGTTTGGTTGCCGAGAAAACAGAAGGACAATTTAAAGGAGAAGAATTATGATGGCAGCGTTAATCGTATTGTCGGTGGTTCTGTGTTTTAATGTATTGAATCCAACATTGATGGATTAATTATTTGTTAAATAACAGGAAGGATTTACAATTGAGATTCATCTTACAAGTATCTTAAATCATATAGTTTTCTTCCTTTGTAGATCCTCCGAATTGCTCCGCTAGCTTCGATGTGTATAAGAGGGCATTTTCTAGAAAGCCGTTTATAATTTTCATTCAAGTACTGCTTTCTGATATTATTACATTGTCTTGGATGTATTTTTTTCTTCTCTGAATTTTGTTTGTATTATTTTCTATTAAGGTTTTTATTTTTTTTATTTTTTTTTAATCTTATTTTGTGGTGCTACACCGTCGTATTTGCTTTTCCTTTATGTATTTGTGCTTAAATGTTATCGTTGTTGAAACTTATAAGTAATTGCTGCAATCGCAAAGGTTATGAGGTTCATGCTAAAGGATGGTGGGAAATTGAATCTTGATATAATTGAAATTATGAAACGGCAATAAATGGTTGTCATCTTAAACAAGATTTGCTTCTTGCTCGATGAACTGAGGTTGGTAAAACAAATCTAGACAGTAAACATTTGAAACTGTCTAATGTCTACCCAAGTGATCCTAAAACAGGAGTATTTTTCTAAGTAAATAATTGGATATAATGGCCCAAATGGGAGAATAAAGAAAAATTGTCTTAATATTTGTGATGGAATTTATGATCATCCCTGGTATGCTTGTCTGTGTATTATGGTTATTGATAGGAGCATATTTATGCGCCTTAGTTAGCTAGTTCTTATGCATTTTTGTTATGTTTTCTTCGTTAAAGTAGTATTTTAAGCTACTTTCATGTGTTTTCAGGTTTAAAGGACATATTACATAAAATGATGCAATTTGGAGCTTTTGGAGCAAAACTGAGCTGGAATGTGGTGTATGCAAATAGAGCACGAGGAATGGACGTCCAAAACAATGCATCACACAATCTTCCTCCTAAGCCGTGCATCCCACCATTCATTCCATTATTTTTCAGTCACCATCTACCATTTTCTTTATTCCCCATTCATTCTTAAAACTGGTGGATCTTTCTCTCCAATTATTTATTCACAAACCGTAGCCCTACATACATATATTCCTCTGATTCATTCATACATTTACCACCACCATAACCTAATTCACAAAGTGCCGTAGCCACCATAAGCTAATATCCCATTTTCCATTCAAAATGTACATTCCACTAACCCCATTAATTCCACCACCATAACCTAATTTAAATCCCAAAACCCGTGCAAACCATTTCCCATTTAAACTACATCCACTTTAAACCTTCCACCCATTATCACCTAACCACCACTTCCCATTATCCTATTCCAATCCGTGCATTACCTCCACCATGCCATTTTTCTAACCTAATAAACCATCCACTTCCCATTCAAACCGTCCACTAACTTCCCATTATCCATTTCCACACCACTTCCCATTATCTCCCACTAATTATCCATCATCCGTGCATTCCATTAACCTATAATCATTTAGCCACCATAATCCCATAATTCATAAATTATTCAATCACTTCTTACACACTTTCCCCATTTTCATTCTTAAAATCCGGAGCTTCCCATTCCATTTTTTTCTTCCATTCTACACCACCACACATCTCCACACACCATATTCTCTCCATTATTCCAGCCACCATACCATACCACCAATCCTCCCTAAATCCATCCCCAACCCAAAATAACATCCAAATCATCCATTTAACCAATCTGCCGCAGAAGGAGAAGAGGAAAGAGGAGCTTCGACGCGCACCAATTCACGTGGATTCGTTGGGCGTTCTAGGTGTAATCAATCCTTTGTGCTTTATGTTTAAATTCAATTTTATTTTTCTTGTTGCGAACATGAGAGGCTAAATCCCCCTAGTTAGCTAGGGGGTGATTCGAAACCAAGGTTATACTTGCAATATGAATTGATTACTTTTGGTTGGGATTTCATGAATGTTGGATTCAATTTGTTTAACTGCTTGATCGATAACTTATTTATGTATGTTGATTAAGAGTGCACACTTAATTTTCATGCATGAATATGACGCTAGAATATAAGTGAATTTCACCTAATAGTTATGAACTTATATTCACAAGTAGTGGAGGTTGCTTATAAACAATCGCGTTAAATAAATTCTTGGCACGAGTTTCATGCAATCATAGTAACGAATGCCTTGTCAATGCTTATGGTTTTCAAAGAACGTAATGATTCTTACTTGTATCTCTATTATGCAATCATGTAGGGGACTTGTGGGAAATGTTTTGGGTTGTCGTATGCAATCATCCAATTCAATAACGTTAGGAAAATCTGAGGGTTAATTAGTGCAATCACGGTTAACCTGGGGCGTTGAGAATTCATAATTTATCGAAAGACCAACTGAGAATCAATTTTGTATGCAAGTATAACATGTGTGGAGATGAACCCCTTGGCTATTCCATCATCCATATTTTCATCTCATTCATATTTACGTTTTGCCTTTAATTACAATTTGTCCATTTAATTTAATATCGTCCAAACACAATCCCCCCTTTACTTTATTGTCAAATTAGTTAAAAATCAATTAGTTTGTGTTTTTAAAGAATTTTGAGTCTTTTTGTTTGTCTTAATGTTTTAACGTTTAGTTTCACATTCTTTGAGTCTAGTTTAGTGTTTTATATTGTTTTTACGTTTTTGAGTCAAAAATCCAAGTGATTAACAATCCCTCCTAATCCCCGGTCCAAAACGATCCCTACTTATACTTATACTACAATTGTCAAAAAGAGGGTTTAATTTGTGCGCGCATAAATAACGCACCAGTTATTTGAAGGATAATTCTGGATGCAGTGAGAATGGTTTGTAAACTTTTTTCCCGTAGTGTCAGAAATTGTTCTTGAAATTTATGATTGACAGAAGTTTTCATAGTACAAGGAAAGTGAACTTAGAGAAGATGTACAGTACAACTCAGATCAGATATGTTTGTAGTTTATGGAGTATTATCATTTTTAGAGAATATTTACTACTGGAAACATATGGGTTCTTATAGATTTCCTTGCTATATTTGTCTCTCTTGTAGAATTTCATATATTTATTTAGGTTCCTATGGAGATTCCTGTGGAGTTAGCTTAATGTGAATGCCTCTAACTTATATCTGGACAAGATATAATTGTCAACGATTTAAAAGTTAGCATTAGTGTCGGGAGAAAATGATGATAATCTTGACTTAAGAGTTTCAAATTATTCCGGCGTACATTTCTTTATTTCCCATTAGGTTGTTTGAATATGATCTCCATGTATATTGTTTGTGCAGACGTTTTAACTTCTGTTTTTTCTTGGTTTCTTATTGCTCATTCCATTGTTGGAGTAGTTTCTACTTCCTGTAACTTTCATGCAGTGGTTTAGAATTAAAAATTCTTGCCTATGAGTTTGGTATGTGTCTCAACTAATTGGAAGTACATTTTGATAAAATTGCAGTCATCTCATATGATGAGTCAAATGCAAAAGCTCCTATTATAAGCTGGGCATATTGATTTGAAGATTGTCACATGATGTAAAGAACCAGAGTATTTAATATTATCGCAACTATATGTTTGTTGCAGTGATATGAACAAGTAATAAAACCTTACTTTAGTATTGAAACTCTAATGTAAATCTGCTCTCTATCCGGCGTCGTTGTTCATGTGGTTTGCATACTGTTGCTCTTTGTGTAAGTGCGGTATTCTTTTTTTGTGGGTGTATTTACTTGGTTTCAGTCCATGGTAGTATCGTATATAGTAGATGTTGTGGATTACATTTTGATTAAGTTAATTTCTTTCAAGTTACTTACATAAGGAATTGACATTTGGTTTCTAGAAATTGCAATGACTTGAGGATACTTCTTGGAGGCAGGTTTTTATTTAAGGTGTATTAGCTTCGACAGAAGTACTGTGGGTGGTTTCATCTCCAGATGTTCTATTGTAGCAATAGAAGCTTGAAAGGATTTTTTGATCATCAGAACTCTATATTGCAGGTAAATGCGTTGACAATTTGTAATTGCCCGTCTTCGTAACACTGACATAGTTGCAGCTAACTTCATTAAAATTTTTGTTTGATAAATTAATTGAAGCTTTCCTGAGATCCTTCTAAATGCTTTCAGACCTTTGTACCGATTGAGGTTCTGTATGAATTGAATGTTACCTGTAACTTTGTTCATACACTTGACGACCTCAGATCTCTAAGATTTAGAATACAAGTGAAAGATTGGTAGCTTTTTGAGTATTTCGATTGAGAAATGTTGTCTAGAATTTTTCTTCTGCGATATGTAAATGACAGGCATTAGGATATGTTTCTGTATTATACATTCTTTATCGCTTCATCTAATCTATGTTTTTCCATTCACGCATCCATACATGTAAATTTTCTTTTTGGCGATTACCACCAAAGAGTATTTTTTTTTTTTTTTTTTTTTTCATTTGGGCAGTGATAATGTTGCACTGTTTTGGAAGGATTGCTCCTTTTTGGGCATTTATTGAAAAAAATAGTAATGTACATACAGACTACGATCTGATCACGAATCTCACATATTGCACATGATACTTGCTATCAGCTGCTGCCTGTCATATAATGAATTCTCATTCTAGAGGATGAATAATTGAAAGCAATAGAATTTGTTAGTCATTGTTCTTCTCACAGAGTCAGTAGGCTTCTGTACATCTGATGAAAATCTTCTTTGCACTGTGGTCAGTGCTGTTTGTTCCCTTCATTTTGTGTCCTGGTCAACTTACTTGCAGGAAAATGCAGTCTGGGCATTAAGGGTCGCGGTGCTCTTGTTTTTCTTTCAAATCCTCTCACACACACGTATCCTGCATATAAGTCAATCAGTCAATATGTAAGCTTGTTTGTCAATTTGCACTATCAATGATTTGTCCTTTTCATAAAAAATTACAAATCAGTTCAAAGTTTATCATGTACATTTTTCTTTTTCTTAAACCATTGGTATGTATACCTTTGTTATATAACTAGTTCCGAGAAGTGAAATTCATAATCTTGTGTTATATTCTTATTTCCGTACTATGTTCCTATATAGTTATCTGCAAACTAATATGAAGAACTAAAGTGAGTATTACATACCTCTCCAAAAGCAGTATTGAATTCCCTCTGTTGATAGACCTGGTAGACATAAATATTTCAATTTAAGTATGCATCTCTAACTGGGATGTGAATGCAGTGACCCTGGTATCTTAATTTCTCTTACCTCTGAATATTGTTGATACAGAAGTTCCAAAGTATACGGTCCGTCTTGGCAAATTCCATATCCACCCCCTTGGAACATCAATTGGGTTGTGACTAGACTCATGATCTGCGAACATCTGCATTGTGATAGAATTTTGTTTGTAAATCTAGAAATTAATGGCTCTAACAATCTGGCTTACCAAAAGTGGAGGAGTACAGGATCATGGTTAAGTTAATGTGCACAGGCTATACTTGCTGGACTGCTATTAATTTTGTCCAGATTCTGCACATTAGATAAAATTGAAGGAGGAATATCACTTGCCTCATTAACTTGGAAATATGTGCCGTTGAGTGGAAAGCTCCCTCTCATTGCTGTTCTACAAGGTATCTGTGACAAGTTGAATGATATTTCAGTATAAAACTGCATGTAGTTTCGTTTTGTCTTTGACATATTACCACAATCAATTTTTCTCACCAGAATCGTCCCTCTGACTGTTTGTGACTTTTCTTCTCTTATACTATTACATGAAAAACATGTCTTCTCATTGCACAATTTGTGTTGGTCTTTGGAGCCACACCTGCTTTCTGGTGGTTGAATTGAATTTGCAGTCTCACCTGGTATAAATAAAATAAATGTATCCCTTAGTAAGATGTACAATATTTTCAACTTCCAACATGCGCTAGGCCATCCATGCATCTGTATTCTAAGTTGTAACTTTGTTTAGTGAATCAAATGCGTTAAACTTGAATAGTCTCAAGATTCTCAACAGTGTATCCAATTCTTTTATGTCTGGAGCTTACCTGGTGTCCATATAGAAAGAAGGTAAGGGCTTGGATCATCTGGTTCCCGTCCGTCCATCTGTAAAGTTGAATAGTGATTAATTGAGAATAATAATGCTTCATGTATTGTTGATATAATATATAATTTTAACCTACCCCTTTTAAGAGTGGATGTGAATCTGGTAGTTCATACCTGCATTATACCAGCACAGAATGTACAAGTGTGTTAGAGAAGTTACACTTATGTATGTATACACATGTTTGATACGGGTATGTGTGCCAAAACTCGGAACATACTGGCTTCTAGGCAGAGAGTTGTTTAAAATTCAGTGCAAGAATTCTGATGGCGGTGAATTCAAAATTTAGACACCTAAGTTTGTTTTCCTAGATTGAATATGCTGTGGTTTCGTTAAAAATGATCAATCAGAGATATTAGGAAATTTTAGTGCAAACGTTCAAATTAGACTTTGGCCCTACTATATTTCAGTTTGTGTTCAGTGTTTTGCTAAGAATATGTGGGTTTGTGACTATAGGATGAAATGTACTTACACTTGGTGCTCTGTTCGTAGTCGACTGACATTCTTTAGTTTGGGTGTAGGAATAAAAGCAGCTTCTGAAGTCAAGGCAACTAAAGCCTTGGACATGTCACCTTCTTGGAGCTCCATCTTCTCTTGCATATAGTTCTGTAATGTCGATGTGAACTGTTCCATGTTGAGTTTGATGGTTGGAATCTCGTCAGGATCCTCATAGAACAAGTCCTCAATGTCACTTTGTGATAGCTCAGTGAACTCTTGTTCTGGCGATCCTGGTTCTTCGATGATCGGTTCACAGTTGTTAATCTCAGCACCTGCTATCTGGAATGAGTTGATTTCTGGTGGAGGCAGTGACATGGGGGTGACAGCTAATGTAGGGTTTATCTCAGCTGCAATTGGAACACTTGAACTCACAATGCTCTTCTCTTCTGGACCTGGCAGGGCAAACCTTGCACTGCACCAAACATGGTCGGTATCAATTTGATTTATACATTCTTATTTCATGAGTTTCATAATAATATAGTTGTAATTTTCTTTTACTTATCTTAATTGTTCCATGTGATTAGTGAAACATAGAGTAATTTATACAACTACAAGTCTTCATGTAACTATCTACTATTCTTAGTTCCTTAGACTACTGATTATTATTTAATTGATCCTGAATCCCGTGTCTCAAGATATCTGGAGATCCTCATGACTTCCTTCAATGTATTTTTTCCTGCACAGTGGCAGCAATGCATGTAATTATCAGAGTTTATTGCTCAAACCTTGCAAAAGCACTTGCGAAGTGTCTGCATTCTCCTCTCATTGGACATGCATTGCAATTTGGTTTACTCTTTGTGCAGAAAACCTGCATACAGATCAAAATATGAGGCTTTATTTTATTTTTGATTAATCACATCTAATTTAATATTTCTAACTAATGAAACAGGATGCATACCTTTCCAAATGTAATCATCTGGTAGTGCAGCTCGTAACTGTGATTCAATAGTCATTGGGTTATCAGTAAAAGCGTAAGTCCAAAAAAAAAAAAAAAAATTCCATGAAATTTTGGACATGAAAGTAGTGCTCTGAAATTAATATGAAATGTTTATGGATCTATGAGTTTACAGCGTTCGTTGGTCAAGTTTGCATAATCTTGGCCATAGATACTTTTGAATTGACTCCAGCATTGGGTACCTAGAGAAGTATATGGTTAGCATTTGCAAGTATTGGAAATGTAATCATTCAGTTAGCACAATATCGTTTCTTACATTTCTAGGAGGTGTAACTGAAGCGATTCAGGTAAGGGTTGGAGGGGGACCCATCCCAGTCTTACTGCTATCCTTCCAACATTAGTGTCAACCTATATGGAGTGAATAAGAGATATAATTTCATTGATTGTAACATGTTCCGAGACTACTTTAACCAAATTACTAAGTAGCAGTCACATAATCGTTACCGGGAAAGCAAGGTGGTGAAGTGTTAAAAGCCGGACGCATTCCACACTTTTCAATCCCAATCCTCGTATGCTTAATAGATAATCCCTGCGGAAAATTCATTTGTGTAAATAGGTATAAACTTGCTGACATTGCAGTGCATTATTCTTATAATTTCTTGTTTTATAATTGTGTGGAATGACTTACTTTGCTTTATCAGGAGGAACATCTCTTAACCATTCCAGATCGATGCTTCCATGTTCTCTAACCAGTCGGTTTAGGAATTCCTACAAAATTTTTGCAACCAGTCTTATCATGAATGATAGTCTTAACCTATCCACTGTTGCTATTCTGGTAAAAATTGAAGTGCAATTAACAAACATGAAGTCCGAGACTGAACACTAATAGTAGAGCACCTGGATCCGTTCCGCTAGCATGATGTTCATCCCTCGCTCCTTGATTGCCTCAGAAATTTCTTTTACTTTAGCATTTTTTAGTGCTTCATAGTCCAGTGAGTCCGTTGCGTCTTTATTTCTTTCCTTTTTCCTACCATTGGCCTGCACCTGCTTTCTCAGGATGTCCCAGTTAACATCGTTCTTTTTCTCACTGTCAGCCTTTCCTTTTCTTCTTTTTGAAGATTTTTTACTTGTCTCATTTTGTGACTGACCATATGAATATGGTTGCTCCTGTACATTTGAATCAATTGATTGATTTTTCATGTGTATTTGCCTACTGTCAACGACATTGAAAGATTTTTTACTGAGATCACCGACATTTTCAACATGCTGCATGCTAACGCTCTTATTTATCTGAAGTGATTCAACATGGTTTTCAGGCTCTCTGACCGACGTGTTTTCTAATTGGAAGGTTAGGTTCCCCTTTCGTTGATGACTGTAGTCGGAAGGATTATGCCCAGTGCTTGGCCTTGTTTCAGAACTGTTTTTCAGGTCTATTGAGTGCTGTCTGAACAATGCACACGGGTCCACTGGTGGCATTTCTTGAGATCTCCTCAGACCATTCTGTTGCATAGAGGAATTAACAACACTTCCTAACAGTTCTTCATTTCTTAAGTTCTTGTACTTGTCATGTTCAATATTGAACCTGGAAGCAGTTGAAGGCCAAGAGGATATGCTGTCCTCACTGAAATTTCCAAATCTCCATGGCTCTGGCTCTCCAGAATTTGGGTACATGTGCAATTGATTGTTGCTGGAAGGAACAACTGGTACTTGGATATTTTCGTCGTCAAGATTGATTGGATTTGTGAAAGAACTGCCAGTGAGATGAATGATTTTGTCTAATCGTGTCTTTATCTGTGAATATTCCATTTGTGCATTCTTGAATCCATCATCTAATAGTGAGCTTCCATTTACTTGACGGTAAAAGTCCTGAAACATGGTCGCTTTCTCCATTTGTTGATACATTGAAATGGAAATGGGAATCTTGTTGGGCTGGCATCCAGTGATAGGATCTTCTGTTTCTGAGTTGGACACTTGGTACAACCTGATTCCTACAGCTCCTTGAGTGACTGAGGATTCAATAGAATCTTGAGACGATACAAATTCTTCCTCAAAACATTGGCTATGTGCCTCATCTAAATTCCTTTCTGTCAATGAGTTCTCACTGTCTCTCTGATTTTCTGCAGATTCATGGAGTGTCCTAGAAATCTGGCAGTAGATTGGTTGACTTGATGCATCTTTATGCCATTTGGTGGCATCATCTGGACTTGTCATTCGAACTTCTGGTTCTTTAACCAAGATGTTTGTTCCAACCTTGTGTGGAGCTTGGTGATTGCTTGACTGAAGCGGAAACCGTGCTGCCAATGACATGAAGGCAGAGCTACAAAAGACACAAAGGAACAAAAGAAAAATTGTTCACCATAAGACATTCATATATGGGCTACCTGGTTGATCTTCAAGTCAAAATTATGAATGTACCTTGATAGATGGTCTGAAACATTCTGGGTAAGGAAAACTCCAATCACCGAGTCAACAACTGATCCCTTCCATTTTGAAAAACGTCTGTCTCCTGTTCATTATAAATTTTTATCAAGCGTTGATGTGCATGATATCTTATAACGACGTATCCATAATTGAAGAAAATTATAATGAATTTGTATTTTTCTGGTATACATGAGAAGCAAAAAGTAATTCGTACCCCTGTTATCTAATTATGCAATCTTTCGCAATAAAAAACTTAACAAAAATGGTACTGTCCTGGTTTTTTACATGTTTTATATGTAGTCAAGTTCGAGTTTTCTTGGTTGAGTTTACATCTTGCGTAGACTTTCAAGTTGAATACTTTAGATTTTCGTGCTGAACTGGAAATGCATGTCGTGCTGCAGATTTCTATAAAATTAGCCAGAAATTGGTGCTGAAGGAGAACGAAAAAAAGGTCAGGCTAGCAAGTTTTCTGCAGTTAACATGTTCATAATTTTGTTAGTCATATTATTATTTTTTGCATTTATCATCATTGTTGAAGTGTTTGATTTGATTTGATGCTAGTAGAACCTCATTACATGGTTCCCTGATTTTAGACTTGAATTAGAAACATTCTGTGTTTGCCAGCATAACATACATGTAATTATTGTGTTTTCATTAATTTTTTTTCTTCCTTAACAATAATTGTTTATGTGATGAGAAAGCTTGTGTATAAATCGTGTGTATAGCATAGGCAACAATTTGTGACAATCCAAAATAGGAATGAAATAGAAGGTATTTTACCTTGAACAAGGTGCATGCGTGCAATGAATGAGTCAACTCGTCCTTGGAAAATCTTTCTTTCGTCTTCCCAATGCTTCTCCTTCTCGTTATCTGTTCTTTCAACACCTTCACTTCCCTCCTTGCCCATCAATAGATTCCATATCCTATTTGTTTCTGGGTCAAGCTCTACTCTCGGCCGCGACTTACGTTTCTTAATAATACCTTTAAAGGGAACAATTGCACCATCTCCTTTGTAAGGAACAAGTGCATTCTCCTGCTCTAGAATTTCGCTGCAGCTTCCATTGAGGTTGAGACCATTAAATTGATGTATGATATCATCTATCGGTATTGTACTTTTTGTTCTTATTGGAAACCCTGCATCAAAATCAAGAGTGTCATTGTTTAAGTGAGTTGAAGGTAGTTACAGAGATGAATTCAGGGGTTCCTTATGATGGAAAGTACCAATTGCTATTGCAGAAGGTTGCTGGTAATCATACGAGGCATCCTTCTCTTGCTGGACTTTATCTGTACCTGATGAAATTTTCGATACAGTAGTTCCCCCAGCCTGCTTCTTTACTGACATATTATCATGAGATACCAGCTTGGTTTCTAGCTGAAAGGATTTTTTAGGAGGTGATGAGGCTAGTTGGTTAAATGTTTGACTTGGTGAATGGGTGGAAAAGCTAAGAACTTGAGTGGAACCTTGGCATGAATTTGATTTGGATGAGATTGGCCGATGTAGAAAACCATTCCCAGAAGTGATGGGGTGGGCGTACCTGTCAGTCGTAAACTTGCTGATCCCTTTGTTCTCCCTGTCAATCATTTTGTTATTTTCAAAGTAAGAACTCAGTATTGTATGGTTCTTCGATGCAAATCCATTTGAATTGACATTATTTTCCCCTGTTCTATCAACTTTTCCCAGACACTTTTCAACTGCCGTAACTTTACTAGGCATATTACTGATGCTCAAGTGTCCATTCTCAACTTTCTTCTTCTTACGACTTCCTGAACAATCTTTGCTGGGAGTGCCACTGTTTTTCTGAATTCTATCCAATTGAAATATCTCTTGGAATGACAGTGAACTTGGTGGATTGTTGGTAGAACGACAAGGGTGCTCAGCAGTTTGAAAAAATTCCCTCTTGGATCCTCTTCCTTCACTTGGAAGGGAGAGAATTTTTAGTAAAGAATCACCTTGGTTGACATTTTCTTTAGTCTTCTGAAGGTTTTCATATCTAAGCTCTGCTCGAATGACATCTTGGCCTATTCCTTCAGCATGGGTATGTTGCTGCACAGGAATGTTTTCATCTCTGCATTTTCTCTGGCATAGATCAGAATTTGCAGTCTCTGTACGTCTCCTCATGACATGCGAGTTTTTCAGATGTATGTCTTTTGCTGTAGCAAGCAGGGATGCAGATGCTTGGCTTTCTGGCCGGAATGTATGGTTATTTGGCATAAGACTCATGGAAGGGAAAGGGTTCCTCTTAGTGCTTGGTGTATGCTTATCTACCATCAATTCGTTCAGTAGGACACTTCGCTCAGCTGCCTTTTCAGTCAAAACCTGGTTCATTTCAGTGCCCGCATGTGTCCCTTGAGAGTCAAAATTCAAATCAAAAGTCCTCTTGTTCTCTTGCTGACCAATTTCTCTGGATAGGTTTTCATCCACGGTCTTTTCCAAATCAAAATGCAAAACTCTTCTGCATGATTTTGCACTTTTTCCAGCAGTAGGGCCTGTTGTCTCCTGTGTTACCTCTGCCAATTGACTTGGGGATTCCTTTTGGACATTCTTTCTTGCATACTTCCTCTTTTCCAGTCGGGTCTCCTTAGACTCTGTATTCTTTGCAGTTGTAGGTTTTGGTGTCCTTTTGGGCTTACCCTCAACAATTACCTTGGGCCTGTGTTTTCTTCGCTTGGGTGGTTTCTGTTGGGGCGTCTTATTCAGATCAATCCCTCTGTCGCCTCCCCTGCCAGACTCTTTGTTTTTGTTGTACAGTGTAGAAATGGCTGCAGATGATGACTCCACAATGTTCTGCAAGCGGCCATCACCATTTTTTTGAGTTGCTTCATCTTCTATAGACAAGACCTGCTTGCCTTTTTCCTTCCTAGCACTTTCGTCCGTCAATGATTTCAGCATTGCAGAAAGCTGGTCGTTCTCCAAATTCTTGGCCTCATTTGTTGTGAATTGGAGTTGGCCGGCAACACCTGAGGCAGTGTCGCCTTCTGTACTTGGTAAGGAGTTTAGATCATAGTTTGGTAGGAAACCATCTGTGCAGAAAAGCAGTTTCTCTGTCAAGTTTATTATTTTTCTGTATTAGTTTCTTCTCAGTTTTTCTTGTTCAAAGTTTTTCATTTCTTTCTATCAAGGAAATCAAATTAGAGCAGAATAAATAAATATCAGAACCGAGTTGAAATACTCACGTTGACTTATCTGGGATGAACTGTCACCATTACTCAACAGGTTTGAGCTCAAACTTGAGCAGTAATTTTGGTTTCCAAATAACCAATGGAATGAGTTGGAATCTCGCCGACTGTTGTCAACTGGGGATGGAAAATCCTTAACCAAGGACCTGCTCATCATGTTACTTGAAGGATATGAAGTGCTGCAATTTTGCTTGGTCAGCAAGTAACTTCCCAAGTTGTGTCCTTGATTTCCCAATTGAGGATGCAACTTGGGAATTAGCGGCGTGTTTGCTGCTGTGTCCATGCTTCTGCCCAGATTCATGTTTGCGGAAGCAACATAAGCTGCCTTATCATGCAGCAGTTGTGTCATTGGATTCTTGTTCCAACACAAGAAGTCACCGTGCACCAACTGCGTGAATGAGCCTGCATTGTAGGAGCCTGCAAAGTGATTGATCATCAGATTTTCCTCAGCCAGACTTCCATCATAACTATATTGCCCTCCATTTCTAATTAGCTGTCCATTTGGGCTAACATCTTGGTTCATGCCATTGTAGTTGGCAATGACCGGTACATGTTCCCTTGAAATTCCAGTCAGTTGTTGCTGCCAGTTTGCTCCTTGCAGGAGGTTCCCGCGGTGGTCGACTGGTATTGGATGACCCTTTGCCAGAGTCAGCTTCTCTGGAGTCATGGGTACCCATGGATCCATGAACCGTAGATCGTCATCTTGGGGAACCGAAAATCCCCTTCCAAACTTCATCCTTGAGTCCCTTCAATTCACAAACTAACTCTCTTTCCACTTCCCTGTTTCATTGAATCCCTTTCCTCTTCTATATATAACCCTCTGGTGTCTCCCTCTAGCAGATTAAATTTTTGTGGAAAATTGAAAATGTCCGATTTCTCAGCAAACCCCTCTGCTGCCTGAAACACCCGGTGCGAAAACACTCAAATGCAAGTCCTTCCCAGCTAACATGCAGTGCCGAATATAAATACACACGTTGAAGAGAAAATCTTTCCGTGAGAGATAGGAAAATGCAGAGCAGCATCTCTGTGATTAATGCTCGAAATCACGCAAACGAGATATTTTTACAAGAAGTACGGCCAGCCATGTTTTGTGTCATGGAAAACATGGAAAACATGAACGACATAGAAAACGAATTAAAGCAGGAAAATGCAGAGTAACTGAGACATTACATATCTTCTCAATCTGTGTAAATTGACTTATTTAATTGTGGTTTAAATGGCAACAAATAATCATATCTTGAGAAAATCTTCTTGTGATATGAAATGAAATGGTAAAATGTGTTTCCCCGCTGGCGGCTTAGCTTGCCGCCGGTCCGGCCGAGTGTTGGAGCCGGGTGACTTGCAGGTCAGTCAATGGCGGACAATACGGTCGGTTTCCACAGCAACACAGGAGATATGTGTGTGTTTATATATATGAGAGAGAGAGGGATGAAAATTAGTCTGGGCACTTCAGTCAATGGCGGAAACTGCTTTTGGTAGTTTGTTACTTCAATTTAGTACGTTGCCTTGAATGACGATGTGGTAAAGTTCAATGTAAACGGATGCCCAAGCGCTGTTACCATAACGATTTACATTTTTTTTTTTTGTCAATTGAAAAAGAATGACTTTTGACTTTTGCCTTGTAAATAGAACTAGAGGACCTCCCAAAACAAAAATTAAAGGGATCCAAAAGTTTTCCAAATTTCAGCTAAACCCAATCATACATACCGTTTTTCTCACCCAGTGTCTTATTTTCCTACCTACTTTTTAATGAAATTTTTATTTACAAATTTGCCTTTTGTAAAATGACTGATAAAGACCTTAAAAGATATATAATAATAACAAAAGAACAACAACAACAATAACAATAACAACAACAACAATAATAATAATAATAAGTTGGACGCAAAAGGTAACAGGAGCCTTAAACTTACGTTTCATTGATGGACAATATGTAAGCCGAATTCGTAGAAACAAAATAAAGCATGAGGATAGAAAGAATTTTGGAACGAAAAAGTGTGGATAAAGGGTATGAAGCTAGCAACTGATGATGATTGGGTATTGATGGTAGTTATCGGAGTACAGAATCATACAACAACAGAGCATTTGAAGGGTCATTCACTTACTAGTAGATTATTGTCGGCGACTTAGTTGGTGGGGAAATATCATTTCAATTTTTTAGGAATAATAATGGGGTGGGGAAATAACATTTCATTTGTACCTTCTTATGGTGTGTGAAATTTTAAAGTGGGTGAAGAAATAAAACATTGAAGTGGGTCTAGCAATTCTCGTTATATATAACTTACTAAACTAAATAAAATTAAAGAGAAAAGTTATGAACAAATAAAAGACTGTCACATTATATGTTACCTCCATCCATTTAATTAGACTTTAGTATTAACTTTTCCATATGCTCAACGTATGGTGATGTCATGTCCAAATGCATTTTTCATTATCTTTGCCTCATATGATTCATCACATATATAGAAACCATCCTTCTGAAAACAAGGTAATGATTGTCTTGTATGTCTTTTTAGATAGTATAAATCGAAACTCTCGAATGCATATATTTTCTATCCAACGAAAAAAAGTTACCATTTTTAAAGGGTGTATGTTGTCTATTTCTACTCTTGTATTAACAAATCTCTAAGAATGGTATTTTAGTAGGTGTAACGCGTGAACTGCCTTTACATTTACTTGACTAGAAAATAAGTGCATTTTGTGAAAGACCGCTTTGTCATTTGAGAATAGGGTGCTCAAATTGGAAAAAGGGTGTGCATGAACAACAATAAAGTTTTATCCCACTAAGTGGAGTAAGCTGTATGAATCCTAAAACACTACTGCGTCTTGTTTTGCGCCAATTTTTCGTTAGCTCTAAGTACTCTATGTCTTTTCTTAAAATCTCTTTCTAAGTCTTCCTAAATATTCCTCTACCCCTTTTTTACTGAGTCTCTACCTCATTACTGCATTTTCTAGCCGGAGCATCTATAGGTCTTTGTTTCACATATCCAAACCACCTTAGCTGGTTTTCTCTTATCTTATCTTTAATCGCGGCGGCTCTTACTTTACCTCGGATGTCCTCGTACCTAGTCATGTCCTTTCTTGTGTTCTCACACATCCAACGAAGCATTCTCATCTAGTCCTTTCTCGAGTACTTGAATAACTTGGCATAATAAATTGGCATGCCTAGCAAGTAACATCTTTTGTCATTGTCTCCCAACTTATGAAAAAGTGTGCTTCAGAAACAACCTTTTTAAATCAACCCAATTACAACTTATTAAGAAGTGTTTAAGAAACAATCTTTTTAAATAAATCAAGTAAATGTGAACTTATTACTTTTGGATTAAAACGGTCAAAGCAAAATATGAAATTAGTGCATTTCCATTTATTTGTTTAGGCATAAATGAGTGGTTGCTTAGCTCCTCCATCTGTGTAAATTGACTTATTTAAATGTGGTTTAAATGGCAACAAATGACCATATCTTGAGAAAATCTTCTTGTGATATGAAATGAAATGTTAAAATGTGTTTCACTGCCGGCGGCTTAGCTCGCCGCTGGTGCGGCCGAGTGTTGGAGCCGGGTGAAGGGGTCAGTCAATGGCGGAAAATACAGTCAGTTTCCACAGCAACACAGGAGATATGCGTGTGTTTATATATATGAGAGAGAGAGAGAGGGAAGAAAATTAGTCCGAGCACTTCAGGTATGTACAAAATGGGCACCTGGGGAGGTTAGACAAAAGCTCAGGAAACTGCTTTTGGTAGTTTGTTTCTTCAATTTAGTACGTTGCCTTGAATGACGTTGTGGTAAAGTTCAATGTAAACGGATGCCCAAGCGCTGTTACCATAACGAATTACCTTTTTTTTTTCCTTTCTTTTTTGTCAATTGAAAAATAATGACTTTTGACTTTTGCCTTATAAATAGAACTAGGGGACCTCCCAAAACAAAAATTAAGGGGATCCAAAAGTTTTCCAAATTTCAGCTAATCCCAACAATCAAACGTACCGTTATTCTTATTCCAGTGTCTTATCTTTTCACCTACTTTTTAATGAAATTTTTATTTACAAATTTACTTTTTATAAAGTGACTGATAAAGACCTTAAAAGATATATAATAATAACAAAAGAACAACAACAACAACAACAACAACAATAATAATAATAATAATAATAATAATAAGAAGAAGAAGAAGTTGGACGCAAAGGGTAACAAGAGCCTTAAACTTACACTTCATTGATGGACACTATGTAAACCGAATTTACAAAAACAACATAAAGCATGAGGATAGAAGGAATTTTGGAACGAAAAAATGTGGATAAAGGGTATGAAGCTAGCAACTGATGATGATTGGATATTGATGGTAGTTATCAGAGTACAAAATCATATGACATCAGAGCATTTGGAGGGTGATTTACTTATTGGTAGATTATTGTCGGCGACTTGGTTGGGAAATACCATTTCAATTTTTTAGGAATAATAGTGGAACGGGGAAATAACATTTCATTTTTAGCTTCTTATGGTGCGTGAAATTATAAAGTGAGAGGAGAAATAAGACACTGAAGTAGATCTAGCAGTTCTCATCATATGTTACTTACTAAACTAAATAAAACTAAAAAGAGAAGTTATGAATAAATAAAAGACTGTTACATCATATGTGACATTCATCCATTTAATTAGACCTTGATATTAACTTTTTCATATGCTCAACCTATGGTGATGTCATTTCCGAATGCATTTTTTCATGGTCTTTGCCTCATATGATTCATCACACATATAGAAACTATCCTTCTGAAAACAAGGTAATGATTGTCTTGTATGTTTTTTTAGATAGTATACATCGAAACTCTCGAATGCATATATTTTCTATCCAAAGAAAAAAAGTTACCATTTTTAAAGGGTGTATGTTGTCTATATCTACTCTTGTATTAACAAATCTCTAAGAATGGTATTTTAGTAGGTGTAACGCGTGAACTGCCTTTACATTTACTTGATTAGAAAATAAGTGCATTTTGTGAAAGACCGCTTTGTCATTTGAGAATGGGGTGCTCAAATTGGAAAAAGGGAGTGCATGAATAACAACAATAAAGTTTTATTCCACTAAATGGAGTAGGCTATATGAATCATAGAATGCTACTGCGGTCGGTTTTGCGCTAATTTTTTCATTAGCTCTAAGTACTCTATGTCTTTTCTTAAAATCTCTTTCCAAATCTTCCTAAGTCTTTCTCTACCCCTTTTCACATGTCCAAACCACTTTAACCGGGTTTCTCTCATCTTCTCTTTAATCACGACAGCTCTTACTTTACTTCAGATATTCTCGTTCCTAGTCATATCTTTTCTTGTATGCTCATACATCTAACGAAGTATTGTCATCTAGTCCTTTCTCTAATACTTGAATAACTTGGCATAATAAATTGGCATGCCTAGCAAGTAACATCTTTTGTCATTGTCTCCCAACTTATGAAAAAATGTGCTTCAGAAACAACCTTTTTAAATCAACCCAATTACAACTTATTAAGAAGTGTTTAAGAAACAATCTTTTTTAAATAAATCAAGTAAATGTGAACTTATTACTTTTGGGATTAAAACGGTCAAAGCAAAATATGAAATTAGTGCATTTCCATTTGTATTTATTTGTTTAGGCATAAATGAGTGGTAGCTTAGCTCCTCCATCGCTAGCCTTTGGTGAAATGAAACGGCCTTTGGTAAAAACTCCTAAACAAAATAAAGGCCATAAGTTTTGTTGTTCCTTTTCTTGGTATACAACGAGGACCATATGTTTGTATGTAACTACAAATCTGCAGGAAGTACTTAAAAAGCAAAACTTTCATTACATTCTCATTTTGCATTGTCGTTTTGTGGAGATCGAGCAATTGGTTGCTTTGCTAAACCTTTACTCCCACATGTATTTTTTGCGTCACCGACTTGGATATGGGGCAATGTATTGACACAATCCGACTTGAATATCTACATAGATACCGAAATCGAGGTATGCTGGCTGGCACCCAAAGGGTAACGAAGCCATAAAGTGAAGGTGATATGTAACAAAGCCATATAGTAACCTCTCTCAATCATGTAGTTTGCAAAATCATACTATGTAAGTATGAAAATCAAGGTACCGAAAAAATAAATTAATCTCAAGAATATGGGTACATCGCAAATATCTCCACAATATAATATGATATAATAATATGATATAATGTAATGCTTATCAAAACGTGTAGGCACATTAGTCTATGAAGAAAGTAGCCATATGAACAGATTGAGTGTATAAATTTATGTTCTAGTACAATATACATATAAAGATGGCGTCAAGGGCATGATATACAAGTCTTAGTTGCCTAATGCAAAACTAGTACATGTTGGCACCTACAATGGATCCATTGTGAATGTAACGGTGCATGTGAATATACACATAAAGCTGGTCCTAGCCCCAAACAGTGCTATAAACACTATGCAAACATACATGATGAGCAAATAAAGTATATTTATGATCATACCATTGACGGATTAACAAAGCTCATAAATCATAACAATAGTAATGTATAAAAACATTTTGTTTTTTACAATCAAAAGTCATGGCATGATATATGAGTATTCATAAAACAATTATGGAAACCATATAACATATATATAGTTGAAAACAAAAGCCCATTCACTGTAGGGACGTAACCGTCTTGCCCTGTTTACCCTCTGAAATTCTTATGATAAGTCTTTCCGATATGAGAAACAACTATACTAATCATTAATCTAATTTCGGGAGTTACAAGTGTTTGAAAAAGAACTCATCCGCCATCACACGTCACCAGGTGTTGTCAATCACGCGTCACCACGCGCCGTTACCCGCCGACATGCACCAGCACTCGCTGACACGGCATAAAGTAACGTTCAGGGTACGAACATTGTATTGTACTGTTTTGTTTATGTACTGAAATTTACCTTAACATAATACTTTCATCTCTTTTTTTTTTTCTTGAACAATTAGTTTTTTTTTTTTTTTTCAACAATTAGTTTGACCTCATTTTTTTTGCAACATGTTTTATGTTTCTTCGGACAACTTATTGTTTTACAAACAAATCAACCATTTCACCCTTTGTAGTGTTGAGCTTGTTCATTCTACATAAAAATTTAATCGTAATCAGTATCTCAAAATAGCAAAGTGGAGAAATAGATTATGATTAAATTAATTCAAGAGGGTGAGTACTAAAATAAAATCACTCAAAATAGCAGTAAAGCCCTGACCCTCTTGAATTAATTTGATCGTAATCCGTTTCTCTACTCACCCTCACAATAGGAATACTGCTATTTTGAGTGATTTCATTTTAGTACTTGCAAGACTTAAAAGTTATGTGTGCCTATTGAGCAATCAGTGCAAAGTGCAAAGAATGAAAGATGGCGCCAGTCCACTTAAACAGAGTAAACCTTCATGTGAACCATGTTCAAAATTTTATTCTTGTCACAGTTTCAACAAGTTTGGTAAGCTTTGTTGGTGCTTGTGTTTACAATATGATGCGCTTCCAATACATATCCTTGTATTTTCCTAGACTATCCACAAAGAAATAGCTTATTTTGAACCATCGCTCGTCACAAAAGAATGATCCGCCTTCATTAATCTTAAAACACCGAATCTTGATAACGAAAAAACAGTAGTCTGATCTTCTGATGAAAATGCCGGAAGGGATGTTGATGAATGAATTCTTGAAACAATTTGAGGCAGTGTATGCGACTATGAGTTGGGGACAAAGGTGCCAACGTAACCAACCCCCGCGATGAAGAATGCAATAGATTGGATGAATAGGAAGATGAAGTAGCCGTTCTTTCCAAAGGCAAGATCATAGCACCCGCAGAAGAAGAGGTAGAATCCAACAATGAGCTCAAGCATATGCAGTCTGTTCATTAGGAACCAGAAGAATGGAAAACGTAAACATCATATTCTCGCCTTCAAAACAGACGGACATATGGTTCTACGAATGATAAAGAAAAGAAAAGAAACGAAATGCAAAGAATCATTATACCTTTCTCCAATCCTCGATCGAGGTCTCCTCGCAGCCTTTCCTCCTGATTTTGTCTTGAGAGCATCTCCCAGTTTCTCCGTGACGACCCATTCATTTACTCTCCCTGCTTCAAATAGACCTATAAATGTTGCCTTGGTACGGTGCAGAGACATGACATTCTCAAAGAGGATCCAGAAAATCATAAGGTGGAGTGATCTGTAAATACGACCTTTGAAAGTATTAGTAATGAACATCTATCGCATTATCTGTCAATGTAGAGATAGGCTTTAGTTCGTAATAATTCGAAACAACAAAGACCTTGGAGTTCCAACGGCGTTGAGGAGAGTAATGATGGATGGAATGTAAACAGCACCCCAAATGGGAACTTGAACTTCAGGAACCAAAACAGTAGCTGGTAAAATGATACAGTAGAACACAAATGTAACAATATGCGCTACAATCTTGCGAACAAAGAAAAAGCTGTAGATCACATGAAGCTTTTTCATTGGGGACACCTTCTGCAATATATTTAGAGTAACAGTGAGTAGGAAGAAATTAAAGGATCTAGTACTTGTGCCTTCATAAACCGCTTTCATAACCACAACAGAAACGGTGTGGAAATTTACCTTGTTTCTTACAATCTCCATTACCATCTTTCGGAAGAGATTAGCAGGGCCACAAGACCATCGGTGCTGTTGATAACGGTAAGCTTTGAAAGTACTTGGCAATTCATTTTTCACCTGAAATGTACACAATTATTAATATTGGATCAAAAGTGAAATGCTCACATCTAAAAAATCACAGAACAGGATTTCTACTAAAACGGTAAAATTATTCATTTGCACGGTAATTTTCGAAACCTCGATACCAGGGGATGATTATCATGGAAATCGTCTTTCTTAAGGCATGATTAATTCGAACTTGTAGTAAATGTAGGTAGCTAAGATTTCTCCATATTTTGACAAGACTGTTATCATTAGCATATTTGATTACCTTAACGTCAGAAAGATATACGAATTTCCAGCCTCCGAGACTAGCCCGGACAGCTAAATCCATATCCTCCACAGTTGTTCGGTCCTTCCATCCTCCGGCCTCATTGAGTGCTGCAATTCTCCAGACACCAGCCGTGCCTGCACCACATTCTCAGTGTCATGTCATTAATTGGGGAAACCGGAAACTGCTTCGTACTTCCCTTGGCAATTTTTTCTAAAATGCTTTACCATTGAAACCGAAGAAGGCATGAGTTGCAGACCCCACTTCTTGCTCCACTGTGAAATGGTAATCCAGTGACATCTCTTGTATTCTTGTCATCAAGCACTCATCAGAATTTACTGCAACAGCAGCACCAATAAATTATTATCACACCTTTACCCTTGCGTGTTTTTACAACTCTATTTTCCTCCATTATATTAGATCGTAAAGAGAATCTAAACAAACTCAATCACATATCCACAGAATATTTGAAAAGCCCTGAAATTGTGAAGTGCTCAACTAATCTTGGATTATGGTTTTTATGCATCAAAGTAGAAAAACCCTCGTGATGATGTTATGCGAACATATGTATACGAACACTTCTTCTCTTCTTATAGTATCTAAAATTATGCAACAAATGTTTACTAACACTTCTTCTCTTCTTATTCATTTATTCGAGTGGTACTCTAATTTAGTTTAAACCAAATTACATAAAGAGGGATTCGAACTTGATCCAAAAGATGGAGCACACTGTTATAGCCAACTTAGCTACATCCGGTCTTATCCTCTCTTTAAGAGACCCGAAGTAATATATTTAAGAAGCACTCAACTCACATTCCACATAAAGTATGGCTATCAATAATTAAACAAGTTTAGTCAAGTATATAATAATAATTATATGATAATAATAGTAATTAAGAAGAAATAACGATGATTACCAAATTTCCAGCGAGTTTGGACAAGACCAACTTCAGGGTTGTGGATGAGAAATGGAATGGTGCGCCAGAGAAAATCAGGCTCAGGTTGGAAGTCAGCATCAAAGATGGCAACATAATCACAGTGTTTGACATAACTGTGCTTCATTCCTTCTTTCAGAGCCCCTGCCTTGTACCCATTTCTGTTGCCTCTGATCTCATACTTTATGTTTATACCTTTGCTTGCCCATCTTTGCACTTCTAGTTCCACCAAATCCTGTTGTTTTTCGAGGTCAAAACCCACATCACAAATTGAAATGTTTGTTGATTTAATTGGGCAAGTTTTGGTTTTATTTTATTTTTTGATGGGGAAATTGCTGCATTGGACTTTTCCCAGAAGGGAAATACTAGCAGAAAAAAGTTATTAATTAGTGGGAATTCCGATCCCCGTTGGATCCTCTTTATGAGAATTTTGAAGATTCGTGAATCGTGTTCGTTCATTGCATATCTTGAGATCATAAATCATTTTAAATATTTTTATTTAAAATTAAACACAAATAGTACTTAACAAAATTAACAATATATTATACGATAAACAGACATAATTCACGAAGCTTCAAAAATTTCAACCCAGAAAAGACCCTGTTGGAATTAGTGGTCTGGCTGCGATTTGTCTCATGTTTTTTGACCCACATGGTTTTTTATTTTTTATTTTTAGTCAGATTATTAATTTTCTGGAGGAAAGTTGATTGAAGAATTGTTTTTTCATTTTTGAATGTGTTATCCATACATTTCAAATTACTTTTCACACACCCTTGTTTATTTCTGTCCGTTGATATTCTTCAATCCATCCGATCTGATGGTCGAAAATTAGAAAGATGTGTAAGAAGTAAAATGAAATGTGTGGATATCACACTCCTTCGTTTAAAGCACTCATAAAGGGTAAACCAGCTTGAGCAAAAAGTACATAAAACTCATAAAATGTGCAAAAGTTCACGTCTTTGTGTCATTGTCACTTTCAAAAAAGTCATTCATCTTCTTTCTTATAAAGAGATGAGATGTTACAGTATAAATAGATCAGGATGATTTTTTTGTAATGTTAATACCAATTCTTAGATTTGAATAATCTCATATTTAATATATTATGTTGTCATATTGTCAATCTAAGGTATGAATTAAACAACTCTTGTCTAAATGCCTAATCAGTCTATCAACTTTGAAATTGCGAAGAAGAAAAACTCATGAAGTTTAAATAATATGCTAGAATAAAGAACCTTGATGGCTGGATCTGTTGAATCATCAAGAACTTGAATGATGATCCTGTCAGATGGCCAGGAAAGTCCACATGCCGCTCCAATTGATAGCTGGTAAACCTGCATCATGCACCACAATATTACACGAGAAACTCTAAATTCATTTTTTTTTTAAATAAGATGCTATAATATTTATAAGGTGGGAAAATAAATTGTTATTGAATTTGTTGTCTATAAAATTAATTTAAATCTAAAATCTTCTATTTAAAAATGAAGAAAAATATTTTTAAACTGTAGTACAACGTGGTAACTCCAAAACCAAACTTAAGCTACCGACAAAAGAACACAAAAAATACCTCTTTTTCGTTGTACATTGGAATTTGCACAAGAACCATAGGATAAGCTGAGTTTCCAAGCTCAACATCATCCTTAACGGCCTCCCATTTCCACTTCTTCTCAGGCTTTCTTCTAAACAGCTTAATCAACGTTATGACAATGCCCATGTACACCTTCTCGACAAAAAGCATCACAGACATACCCAAGCACAAAACCACCACCAACTTCAGCAACGGTACGATTAGCGGCGCCTTAGCTTGCTGCAAAACCAACCCAATTTGCCCTCCTTGCATTGCCTCCATTGTCAATGGTAAGAAATGAACACTGAGTTGGCTTTGACAATAAGTGCTTATTTGGAGGTTTGGGAGTAGAAGTGCTTATAAGGTCCCTGCTGGCTTTGCGAAAAGAACAAGTTTCTTTTTTTGTTCTAGCTTTTGGTTGTATTGGTGTGCACTGATTTTTGCTTCTGCGTTACTTCAACCTAATGCTGGAGAGCTGGATGGAGTTGTGTCAGTGAGTTGGGTTTTATGATCACAAAGGAAAAATTGGAGACTTCACTCAAAATTCACCAAGAAAAAAAAAAAAAAAAAAGTAAACGCAAGCAGGACCTGGATTTTTTTGCACCTGATGAGAGAGAAAGATAGACTCATAAAATTGTATTTTTTTAGGCCTCTCTTTCTCTTCACCAACGGCTTGCCCTGCTCTGCAATATATTTTTGAATCCAGAGAAGGGTTTGCTTTTGAACCTGCAAATTATGTGTGACATGCAGTGTGTTTATATAGAGAAAAATATTTATTATATGAAAAATAGGAGACAGGTCAAAATGATGAGGACAGTGGACCGGAAACAATGTGTCATACTCCGGCAGCGTTTATATTACAATTTACAACTAATTAGAAGAAAAATAGAGTTGTTTCACATAATTAATTTTATCATTACAGTATAAATTTCCTTTTGGAACTACCATATTTTCTTCATATATAGCATTAAATTTTCATTAACTGTAATTTGCTAGTTTAGATATCATTTTCTTGGAAGGTGAAACGTTGGCTATATCTTGAATTAAGTCTCAATTAAACGGGTTCTGAATTCATTTGGATGGACTCCTCCAGAACCAGCTAATTATTTCTTCGAAAGTTTAAATTAATTTGAATCATTTGTTCAATCACAACGCTGCACGAATATGATTGCGTTCAAATTGATAATTTAACATATGCTTTTATGAAAGATATTACTGACACTCTAAAAATGTTATTGTACACTCCTTCAATATCAAAATATCCGTAAGTAATTGTAATTTCCGTAGTTCATAATGACTTTTTAAGAGTAACAATTCTCTCTAAAATATTTGTAAGAACATTTCTTATCACAGATCGACTAACTACGTTTGCGTTTGAAAGACAATTTTGAAACCTTTTTGTCGAATTTTGAAACCATGTGAAGTCACGACATTAACTTTACATACATGTTTAATTACATCCTCTTAAAGCGAGCTTCCCCAAAAACTAAATTTAATTAAAGCATAGAATATTCCTCGGTGGGTTCTATCTTTTTGTTCATATACCATGGTATTCCAAATGCATTTGAGTGTAAAATTTAGAATTGGCTCTTCAACTTTTAATTTTAGGTTACAATGAGTTTTTGAATTGAAATTTTAAAAACTTGTTTGTTTGTTTTTAAGCAACGATGTATTAGCATTAAGGGGTGGTGAATAAATTGGTTACGAACCTGTCATTCTATACGATATTTGAATCTAATACCTTTAAGTTATAAGTGAAGAGCAATGTCACTAGATCGTTGTACTAAATGGATAAAAGCTTGTTATTTGATGTCTTTGAATTTAACAAAACATGGACTCAGTAACAATCATTAATGAATTTTTAGTTAAACTTCCGAATTTAGGACTAAAGTAACATGTTCATTAACCTGAGAAATACCTCATATGAAAATTCAGGAACTAATTCTAAATTTCAATTTTTTTAGGACTAAAGTACTGTGTACATTTGAGGCCAACTTTTTTTTTTTTTTTTTTTATGTTAATTAAGCCTGAAAAAATTCCTGTGATTTTCTATCCACCTATGGTGGTGTGGTGCATCCTAGCCACTAACCCCCTCAAAAGCTTCTAATGTGTGCATTTGAAATCATCTTTCTAACATGGTGAGGAAGAATTATTTTACAGTGAATTTTTATGGGTCAAATCCACGTCGAGGGTGCACCTCATTGTCTAACCAATTGTGTTTGACCAATTTGCACGATACATGTCATAATAAAAAATATTCGTTTTTTCTTAAACCTTATTTGAAGATCATATTTGTAATAAAAATAAAAAATCAAACTGGACATCTTAATTTCATTTTTATCGAACAAATTCTAACGATTAAAACCCTAATAATGAAACTTAAATAGTTTGATGCGTATGCATGGACGCTAGATGATTGATCTCTAAATTGATTGATTCCTTGCAAAGATGGTTTATGAAGAATGACTTATAAAAAGATTTCGATTATGATATGTGTATTTTTAAAACTCGATCATAATTACTACGTGGACAAGAAAATGCACCCTTGAAGTAGCGTATTGTGCAATTTTTATTGGATGCATTTTTGCTCATTATCCTAAAGTGGTAGAGGTGAACATCATCACCACATTGATTATCGTTAAATGAGTGTGATTTAATCTATTTACTACACATATATTTGTACTTTTAACGGCAATCCATATGGTGTTAGTACTCACCACCACTTATAAGTGGTGAGCAAATATATTTCTTTTTTATTTAGGAAATTATACTATTATTATTTATTAGATTTATGGGACTTCAAGTAATTATTATTAGACCATTCTTATTGTGTGCGTGCATAATGCATATGTGTAGGGGTGTACTTCTACACATTCTAAGCAAAAATATTTGTCAATGTGCTCGTAATTACTTAAGCCCGCATGCATTCGGATCTCTTTGGCTGTTTCTAGATTACCGGTGAAAGTAATTAGGCCTGGAAGGAAACGATTGGGAAGAACCCTCCTCACAAAGCGCAGGTCCTCTCTGTGAGAATAATTCTATGGATTACATATACATATATAGGGATAGGATCAAAAGACAAAGATTTTGACATTCCTTTGTAGCCTCTAGATCTTATAAGATCCAAGGTGATTAAGAGTGATTTGGAGGCTTTTAAAAATTAAATGACTTGGATGATTATGTGGATTATAACTAATAAGGAAAACACTAATTTAAATAAAAAGAATATCAAATAATAATAAAATTGAAAAAGAAATAATCAAACTTTGAAATATCCAGTGTAAAAAAATTAAAAAAAAAAAAACATGAAATTCCATTTCCATCTTTGTTGAAGAGGTCTACAACTTCTTGATGAAAAGTCTTTCTTTCCTTCAAACAAAGAACCCTAATTACAGAAGGAAAAAAAAAAAAAAAACATGATACCACGCAGAAAGAGTTTTGCTTCGACAATAATTTATTTTTAGTTTAAGCACCCTAATCCTAGGCTAGCAACTCAATCACTTTGCCACCTCCATGCATGTTTGAGATTTCTACAGCCACAAACTCATCAACCATTCATTTGCACCGTATTTAATAATAAAAAAAAAAAGTGAAATCCAAGAGTCCAGATTGAAGATTTAGAATTTAGGATTTTTTTTCCTGAGAAGATTTAAGAGACTGATAGCTTGATTCGTGCACATCAAAATTTTTATTAGTTGAATTAGAGTATCACATGTAATGAGGCGTGAGAACATCGATCTGTCTTCTCACCTTTCTTGGGTATTCTTCACTATGGGTTTTACATTCTTTTTTTATGAGTTCAAATTTTGATTATTTTTTTCAATTTTATTGTAGATAATTCTACTTAATTTAAATTTGTGTTTTCCTTATTAGTTATAATCCACAAAATCATCCAAGTCATTTAATGTTTAACAATCTCCACATCTTTCTTAATCTAGACCATTGAATGTTATAGGATCCAAGGACTACAAAAGAGTGTAAAAGTGTTTGTCAAAATCTTTATCCCTTAATCCTATATATATACAGTTTTCAACTTTCATATCTTTTATTTAAAGGCTAAGGGATGAGTAGAGAGGGGGGCAGACTTTAGGCATAAATGGGTTCATCAGTTAAGAAAGTAAAATCATTACGCAAAGATGTACGTTTTCTTTGTAGTAAAGGACCATCCTAACTAGTTCAGCTTCCAGAAACCCTTCGATATGCTCGTGATGGATTGAAATGCCAAAGAATACATTGCTTATTATCTGAAGGTAAAATAGTAAAAATCACATATTGAGAAGGTAGAGACATATTTCACTCACCAACTACAATTCGTAGTTCTCTGCAGATTAGTCAGTGTCATATCTCAATTTTTTTTCGATTTAAAATATAAGAAGCTCAAACTCTATGAAAAATAAGATATTGTGATGTACAGAAATTACATTTTGTAAGTTAATGTGAAGAGATAGGGTCCATTAATATAAGTCTTACCCTTTATTACATAGATAATTTAAATGTAATCTACAAAATGTGATCTGCCTAGAGAAATTTTCTCTTGTGCCCGTAACACCATGTGTTATTATATAAATGGTGGAAAATTTTATTTTTTATGTTATTGATTTTTTAGCACAATAATCTCACCACTTATATAGAGACACGTAGTGTACCATCCCGTGTTTCAAGCACATTGAAAAATCTTTGATCTGGCTAACAATTTTTCTTATCAAAATAATGGTATATGGAAAGCGTATTCGTATCGTGCATGTCTGGAGGCTAATGATACACTAATTTAATTAGCATGCAAATTAGTCATGGGTCAGGACCACCAAAACAGCTATATATACGTTTTCACGCAAGCTAATTGATCTATAACTTGTGTCGGACATGCTCGTTGCTAATTAATTACATTTTTTCATAGAGGTAGGATCTTCACGAGATCCATTTATATACTTAGTCGTTCATGCATGCATGCCCGCTAAACCTACGTACGTGACCTCAAATGTTAAGTTACACATATAAATGGTCAATGAATTTTGAACATAACAAATTTTCACATGAGATTAGACATCTATTTTCTTTGTGGGCATCCACTTCAACTCTACCTAACATTTTTATATGTGTCGTTGCACCCAGTCAAAGTGTAAAATTGTCTACAGTTACTTGAATCGATAAGGATAAAAAACTTGAATCCATAATTAAGGAACAATTTGTCAGTTATAAACCTATTGTTAAGGTAGAATAAAATGTCTATTAAACGAACAAAAAAAAAAAAAACTCAAAAATCATCAACACATGGACACTTAGGGTTAGTCAATTAAAACATTATCAATAGGTAGGAAAATTCTATCTACATCACCTTTGCGATAGGTATCAAAACCTATATTTCCACGTACATAACCTATATATTTGGTATCAAACTCATCTATATTACTACACATTTGGTATCAAATTCATCCACTTCTACCCATCTATAAGACTCAAATATAATAAATTTTAAATTAAAAATCAATTTGTTTCACACAACATTAAATAAGAAAAATGATGGTTGACAAAAAAAAATTATGGCGGTAAAATAGGCATGAAACAAAATGACAAATGAGAACCTTAGTTATTAATTGACCTTATCATCTTACTATGGAAAGTTTTTCAACATCACAAGATTGTCAAAGATATATGAATTTTTCCTAAGAAATTCTAACGAAAGTGGGTCGATATCAAATTTTCTGTTTTTTTTTCATGCACAAGTGACAGCTAGTAATACTACAAG